AAATAAACAGCTGAATTTTAATATTACCTTGACATCCTGAAGGCCATTTGCATCAAGGTTGTAGAATCTTGAAAAAAAAAAAGGTAATTGTACATGAATCACAATTGGAACAACTGTTCTTGTTTCACACACAAAATGACAGGAATTGAGGGCTGTGTTTCAGGCAATACTTGTGATTTTCTAGATGAGAGAAATGGGTGCAGATCAGTGCAAGTTCCATCCATGCAAAGGCAATTTAATACCTCTGTGCTGATCTACTTCTAGGTTGTGTTTCAGCAGTTTCTGTTGTAAAATTAGGTTTGTATATGATGATAAGTGTCAATAATGTGAATTTTTTGCTTTTAATTAATAGGATCCTAGTAAAATTCCAAGGTGGCTAAAAATTAACAAAATCTACTACCCAGACTTCATTGTCCCAGATCCAAAGGTAAGTGCTCTCATAATCATTTCACATTTAACATTTCCCAGCCCTTCTTCTGCAATCTTCTATAAATCCATTAGAAGGACAACTTAGAAGTTGTCTGTGTTACAAAATAAATCTTCATAGTTGGAATGGGAAATTAAGCACAAGTTTTTATTTCTCAATCTTGCAGGTGCATTTGAGGCTAAGAGCTTCATGAAGAAATCACACCTGCAGCAGTTTTGGGAAAAATTCTTGTGCATTAAATCCCTTCCAGAAGTGAGCTTACTTTAAATTTGAGATATGAGAAATCTGCCTTTAAAGCATTGAAACACAACTGCAACCCAAAAGTTGCTGTTGCTGTAGGGAATGTGTCAGTATGCTCTGTATGCCTGAAGGAGAAGGTGTGCTCAGAAATTGGCATTTTGTGTCAGTGAAGGCTTAGAGAAGAAGTAGTTTGAACAGCAAAGGTGACCAGGAAGGTCACTTTGTGTACATGGAGCTGTGCTGGGGTGGAGAGTGAGTGAGGGTGAGGCTCTCTGAGCTGGCCCCTGAGGGAGCACAGGGTGTGACATGGGCCCTGAGGGAGCACAGGGTGTGTGACATGGCTCCTGAGGGAGCACAGGGTGTGCCATGGCTCCTGAGGGAGCACAGGGTGTGCCATGGGCCCTGAGGGGGCACAGGGTGTGCCATGGCTCCTGAGGGGGCACAGGGTGTGTGACATGGCTCCTGAGGGAGCACAGGATGTGCCATGGCCCCTGAGGGAGCACAGGGTGTGCCATGGCTCCTGAGGGGGCACAGGGTGTGCCATGGCTCCTGAGGGGGCACAGGGTGTGTGACATGGCTCCCTCAGGTGGCTCTGGGGGAGCACAGGGTGTGACATGGCTCTCTCAGGTGGCTCTGGGGGAGCACAGGGTGTGACATGGTTTCCTCCCTGGTTTCCTCCCTCCCTGTGCTCAGAAAGCCCCGGTGTGGGAGATCACAGGGGCCGAGTTCTCCAAGGCCGAGGCGCACACGGCTGACGGGATCTCCATCCGCTTCCCGCGCTGCACCCGCATCCGGGATGACAAGGACTGGCAGACAGCCACCAACCTGCAGCAGCTCAAGGTGGGTCAGCAGGGGCCCTGCAGCTCCTGGCACCAGGCTGAGCTTCAGGCAGGTCACAGCATGCACTGAAGGCACCTGCTGCAAATCACAGATGCACTGAAGGCACCTGCTGCCTGTCGTGGCACCTTCCCTTTTCCCTTCGTGCCAGGCTCGGGCTGGGTTGCTCTGCTGGAGGCTCTCAGGCCCCTTGAGCAGTCAGAGAAGCCTCTGTGGGCAGTTGGTTCCATCAGCTCCTGTGGCAGGGTGAGGAGTTGCCTTCCTCAGAGGTGACCACAGAATGAACTCTGTTGGAAAAGACATTTTGAGGTCCTCAGGTCCAACCTATGACCTAACACCTGCTCAGCAGCTAAACCTGTGTGGCACTGAGTGCCACATCCAGGCTTTTTTTAAACACATCCAAGGACGATGACTTCACCACCTCCTTGGGCAGACCTTTGTTCTCTCCATGCTCACTCAGTTTCCCATCACTTGCTGTGACTGGGAGAGGCATTTGGGAAGTGCACGGGGGCCAAGTGGCACTGGCCACGACCCCTGGGCTGCAGCCACCCCAGTGCCAGCCCTGGGGGAGCTCTGTGCTGCAGTTTCTGGCTGGCAGCAGCTGCCAGGGCTGCTGTGCCATGGAAAGCAGGAGTGATGCAGCCCCCAGGGCCTGCCAGGATCCCCGTGGGGAGGAGAGAGGAACAAAAACCCCTCTGCAGATGGGCCCTTCCCACAGTGAGCACTGGGCACTGCTCATCCTTCAGGCTCTTGCTCTGTTGCAGATGATGTGGATGTGGCTTTTGCTCCTCCCTGTGTGGCTTCCCTGAATGCCAGGAGAGGGGTGAAATGCAGGGAGCTGGGACAGGAAAATGACTGCAGAGGGGTGCAGGAAGAAAAGGCTTTTGAGCAAACACTTCATGGGGAGAACACCAGAGCAGTCTGTGCATCACAGCTCATCTCCAGTGTCAGACATGATCTGTGCTGTTTCTCTGGGCAGGAGCTGTACCAGCTCTCCAAGGAGAAGGCTGATTTCAGTGTTACAGCTGGGGAGGAAGATGAGTCCACAGCTGGCAGCAGTGGAGAGAATGATGGGAATTCCAGGTCTTCCACACCTCACAGCAGTATTAAGAGTCCCCCAAGCAAGTCACCTGCAAAAGCCCAGAAGGCAGAAGGTAAGGTGTAAGGTGATGGTGCTTTCAGGAAGGAGCCTGGGGCTGTGTCCTCTGTGCTTGGGGCAGGCTGGCTCTGGGCCCTTGCCCTCTGTGAGAGGCTTGATGATCCCCCCTTTTCACATGGATCTCAGGGATAATGGGCAAAGCTGTTCAGATCCTTGCTTTGGCCCTGTATGAATTGAGTAGCCACAGCTCTGAGATGTCCTGGGATTGGGAAAAGAGGGATGGAAACAGCTCTGATGATGCTGTTCAGGTTGGTGTTCACTGCTCCCATTTGTGCAGGTCACAGCCCTTGGGTGTGAGACTGTTGGCCATGAGCCAGTGTTTAATTTGATTTGGATGGAACTCGTGTGTGTAAAGGGACACGTGGCTGGAGGTGATTTCCTGGTGAATTGAGCTGGAACATGAAGCAGATTGCTCAGCAGTGGCACAGAGTGGTGACAGCATGGAGGGCAGGTGGCAGCAGCAGCCTGGGAATGGGGCAGGAGGCTGCCCCACACCATTTCCAGTAGAAAAATGGGTCTCACTAGTGAGAGTAGTTCATGGATTTTCCAGAAAGGGGAGGCAACTTTTCCCTTCTGCTGTTTACTCTTTCCCCCAACATTAATACACAACCAGTATCTGGACAGAGCACATGCATGAACAAAAAAAAATTTTGTTTTTAGACAGCAAAGGAGTCATTGGATCCCCTCAAAAATCCGAGGAGAGACGAGGGGAGAAGAGAAAAGCATCTGAGATGGAGGACAATGGAAAAAAGGTACAGACAGCAGCCATGGTGGGGTGGAGGAGGCTGGGGCAGCTGTGGTCTGTTCATTCCATTCCAAGGAATGCTTGTGTTCACTTCCATGCCAAGGAATACCTGTCTGTGGCAGTGTTCACAGGGGTCCCAGGATGAGGGAAGAGACCAGAATCTTGACTCCATGTTCAGAAGGCTGATTTCTTATTTTATGATATATATTATATTATAAGAAAATGATATATTAAAACTATACTAAAAGAATAGAAGAAAGGATTCCATCAGAAGACTTGAAAGGAATAGAAAGGAATGATAATAGAATTTTGTGACTGAGCAGAGTCTGAGCCAGCTGGGCTGTGATTGGCCATTAATTAAAAACAACCACATGAGCCCAATCCCAGATGCACCTGTTGCATTCCACAGCAGCAGATAACCATTGTTTACATTGTGTTCCTGAGGCCTCTCTCAGCTTCTCAGGAGAAGAAATCCTAGCAAAAATGTGTCCATGACAACTGTCCACTTCCATTCCAAGGAATGCCTGTGTCCATTTCCATTCCAAGGAATGCCTGTGTCCATTTCCATTCCAAGGAATGCCTGTGTCCATTTCCATTCCAAGGAATGCCTGTGTCCACTTCCATTCCAAGGAGTGCCTGTGTCCATTTCCATTCCAAGGAATGCTTGTGTCCACTTCCATTCCAAGGAATGCTTGTGTCCACTTCCATTCCAAGGAATGCCCGTGTCCATTTCCATTCCTATGCCTGTGTCCATTTCCATTCCAAGGAATGCTTTGCCCAAGCTCCATTTCCATTCCAAGGAATGCTTTGCCCAAGCTCTGTTTCCTCCCCAGCAGCCCCTGCTGGACATTTTCACGGGGGTGAAGCTGTACCTGGCGCCCTCGGTGCCGGACTTTGCGCGGATCCGCCGCTACTTCATCGCCTTCGACGGGGACCTGGTGGAGGAGTTTGACACGGCCTCGGCCACCCACGTGCTTGGGGACATTGATGACAACCCCGGGGCGCAGCGGGTGACTCCCAGGTGGATCTGGGAGTGCATCCGGAAGCGCCGGCTGGTGGCGCCGTGCTAGCACAGGGGGCAGTGCTGGCACAGGCAGTGGGAGTGGGGAGGGGAGGGAACGGGAGATCCCTCCCTCCATGGAGGGGTGGATAGACAGGAAGTGCCCTCAGTAGCTACAGAGATCCAGAGCAGCCCTATGGAATGAATTTAAAAAGCTCTCTGAAGAAATGTCACTGCTGAATCCCATTTCCTGCCCATACTGTAGACCACCACCCTTATCCAGGTGCTGGTTTAGTCTCCTTGGGTTTTTAAAGTTTGGGTATTTTTATAGATAAATAAAACTGAAGCAGCTTCTCCTTTGCTGTCAGGACTTATTTTCCAAAGGTTCTTCTCTTCCTGTTCAGGAGAACAGAGCAGCAGCTCCGTGGGACTCTTGGCTGTGGTGCCAAGGTCATTTGTGTTGTCAGGTAATTTTTTTTCCACCTCCTCTGTACCCCCCACTACCAGCATTTCAGCACCTGGGATCCCAACTTCTGGCTGAGCTTCAGCAGTAGCTGTAGGATCTCTTCTTGTAACAGATTCAGAAACAAAGTTAACTAAATCACAATTCAACTTTATTATAAAATTATAAACCAAACTTCTGTACCAAAACTAGTAAGTTGAACTGTCATAGTACCAGAGGATTTAATAGTGAATAACATGCCCTTTCAAGTAGAATATTAAGTTTTAAAATCTTTAAACAATGTACAGTGTACATAAAGCACATAAATATTTCCATTTACTTTATTAGTTCAGAACATTATATTCCTTTGGATCATTAATCAGTTTCCTCCAGGTTTTGATTTTCCTTTAAAAACAACTCATATCCATAAGTAGAGAATCCATTTTTACAAGGGAAACAAGAAGAGTCCTCCCTTCACAAAGCACATTTTGGAGTCACAGGGTTGGGTGGATCTTCTCATCCCTAAAATTTCAGGCATTGATCTGCAGCTTGATTTAACTGCTGTAGACAATAAACCTACCCTGAACAAGGAAAAGTACATCTGTCCATAGGGGAATCATCATCTTCCTGCTAAATTCCCCCAGCCCTGAGTTTATTGAAAAATATGACAACATGAATTTTCACAGTGGATTTCCTAAACGAGGCTGCTCAGCACATTGTGTATTCCTGCAGCTCTTGGAGGTCCCTGTGCTCTCTGCAGAGCAGACAGAGTCACTCCTTAGCTGCCCTTTTCTCTGTCAGGATGCACTGACTTGTTCACTGTGTTCTCCTGCTGGATCTGTTAAATCTTTAGTCAAAGAATAAAGAACAGCCTGACCTGGGACAGAGGTAGGGCTCAGAATGCTGAGTTCAGTCAATGCAGCAGCTGCTGCAGTTTGGTGCAGTTCTGAGACCCCCTCAGTGAGACATCCCTGGCTCTCTCCTGCTGCCTCCTGAGCCATGGATTTCTCATCCCAGGTGCTGCTTTGGCTGCAGCTCCCAGAGCAAAGCCCCTGCACTCAGAGCTGCAGAGCACAGGGGTGACTGTGCTGCTGCCATCACTGCCCAGGAGCTGAGGGGAGTCACTGCAGAGCCCCCCTGGCTCTGTGCTGTTCCCTGCTGGCAGCCAGGCTGGAACACAGAGCCAGAGCAGCCAGGACAGCTCTGCAGAGGGGCCTGGGCACAGTGCCACCCGTGCTGAGGGACACTGAGGGCAGCACTGAAGCCCTGGCTGCCTGCAGGCCACTGAGGGCAAAATACACCAGAAAATCACCTCCAGAGGAACTGCCAGACTCCTCCAGCTGAACACAGCCCAGGAGCTGTCAGGGATCACAGCCTCTCCCTACCCTCACCAGCAGAAAGGACAAAACTGCTTTTGTAGGCAGTGGAAGGTAACAACTGTCAAACTGAGCCCTGGGGAGGATGGGGAAGCTGATCTGCAGTGGAGATTGCTCATGGATCCAAGGGAAACAAAGGCTTTCTTCCATGATTCCCTTCTAAAAAAAGAAAAAGTCACCTGTCCTTCAATATGATTGTGTAGCAGTGGAGTCCTCACTACTCTGCAGCTCTGTGGTCTCCTCACCAACCCTGGGGAAGGCTTAAGCCTTGGACTTGTAGCTCCCTCAGCAGGTGGGGGCAGTTCAGTCTGAGCCCCACCTCTGGCACGTGCTGTGAAATTAAAGTTGACAAAAATCAAACCAGAAACCTCCCTCTGGCACAGAAACAAAAACCCAGCACGCAGGGCAAGGCTGAGCCTTCCCAGCCTCCCTCCCCAACAATTTTCAATAATACAAAGACAACCTTGATATAAAATTACACATTTTTCCACAATTGCACTACTCTGGAATTAGGGAAAGCAGGGATGGTCTGCCTGTCCTGCAAGCATAACAACATTAAATTAAAAATAAAAGTAAAATTAACAAGCACAGTGACATTTCAATCTTCGAAAATCAAGTTGTTGCTGGGCAGAGCCTGAGCAGCAAAACAAAGGACACTTTTTGAGACCCCAGTTCACTTTTATTATTCAGAGGAAAATACAAAGCCTCTGGAGCTGATCTTCCTGGTGGAAAGCTGGGCATCCATCTGTCCTCAAATTATCCTGGGATGGAGGTGGTTAATGATTGCTGGCAATGAGCTCCGAGGAGTCCAGGCACTGTGGTGTAAAGCACGATGGTGGGATGAGCAGAGTCGGGCATGGCTTGAGCAGAGCACTTTCCCCAGGCTTCCTCCTTCCCTCTCTGGCAGCAGGGTCCGCGCTAATCTCCAGGGTGGCTGTTGGCAGGGATGTTGGCCCTTTCCCTGCGAGCACGGAGGCTCTAAGGCACGGCAGGCCTGAGCCCAGAGCCGGCCCTAAGTCCTGAAGACGTGCACGGCGCGGATCACGTACTGCCGGCAGATGGGGCACTCGCTCATGCGCTTCCCGCACTTGGTGCACGTCACCATGTGCCCGCACTCCAGCAGCACGCAGTCGATGGCAGCGTCCATGCAGATCCTGCACAGGTTGTCCTCGGTGCTGGGGGACCCAGCAGCACCTGAGGGGACAGGAGAGCACGCAGGGGTCAGGCAGAGGGAGGTGGGGTGGGTTTGTGCGATCCCACTTGGCTCAGCTGGAGGGATTCCCTAAGGAACAAGGCCTGCAAAGGAACTGCCCTTGTGGCTGCTCCATCGGCTGGCAAGGAGCAGAAGTTTGAGCTTTTACACGGTAATTTCTGTGAGATGGAAACAAAAAACACTGAGATTCTCAGTGATGAGGCAAATGAAGCAACAGGGGTCTCTCTTCCCTAGTAACAGCACAAGAGGAAATGACCTCAAGTTGTGCCAGGGAGGTTGAGAGAGAAATTTCTCCTGATACTGATTTTCAAAAACGTTGTCAAGCTCTGGAACAGGCTGCTCAGGGCAGTGGTGGCATAAACAACCTTAAGGGCATTTAACAGCCATGTAGATGTGGCATTTGGGGACCTGGTTTAGGGGTGGCCTTGGCAGCACTGGTTGCACTGGATCTTGGGAGGGTTTTTCCCAATAAACAACTCCATGATTAAGGATCTCACTCACCAGTTTGATCATCAGTGTCCAAAACTGCAAGAGAAGAAGAGAGAGATTTGGTGAGAGTCTGAAAAGCTGGGAGAGAAGTGGTACCAGGCAGGGGCTGAAAACCCTGAGGGAGCTGCTGAACCAAAACTGCTTTTTGCTGTTCACCAAGGGAGGCTCAGCCTGGGCTCTGATCAGGACAGGTTCAACAACTGACAAGAACTTTCTCCAATACTGAGCTTACAGAACAGTTAAAGCTCCCCAGAGATAAGGGATCCAAAGGGATGTCTCAATTTTTAAGACAGCCTTGGAATGTGTGCAGAGTTTGGCTTCCCAGCACTGCACCTGCAGCAGCCCCTTGTGCCAGTTCCTCTGCTGTCACACAATCACCAAGGGATTGAACCGACACAGAGTGAAAGAAAAGGATACCTTGCATCAAAAGCACAAGGTAATGAAAGAATGTAACCCAAAACTGCTGTCTTAAATCTTGGATCATCCATAGAAGACAAAACCTAGAAAGATGTGTTTAAGAAAACAACACTACTTTGGACAGCATTGAGAAACAAATGTATGAAATCAAAGTGTTAAAGAGAGTTTCTCTTTTAAGTAATTTACAAATATGTGGGTTTTTTTTTTTAAGAAATCCCCTCAAAGTGCAAACTGGCACCTGGAAAACCAAGCCAGATATATTCTCTACACACCTGTGTCCCCTCACAGCCACCTGTGCAGGCCCAGGAGCACTCTGGTGGAAAGGGAGTGAAACCCCAGCTACCCCAGCTGGGCAGCCCTGGGAGCCACTGCTCTGGGCACATCCTGAATCTCCCAGCTGCTCTTTGGTGGCAGTTCCTGCCTGGGCAGGGCATTTCCCTGCTGGCTTTGTCAGGTATCACGAGCCAAGAGGTAAGAGCTCAGCACATCCAGTCATGTACAGCCACACACCAGGTGTTGTGAGGGTGAGGCAGTGCCCAGTGGGATCTGTTGGGGGCATACACAACACCAAGGGTGAAGGATGCACAGCCCTTGTGCTGCTGCTGCAGGGCTCCCACAACTCTCTCCAAGGAGAGAGAGGAGTGGTGAGCAGAGCTCTGTACAAAACACTCCCTCCTTCCTCCTCACTCTGCTGCACCAGAAACATCAGCCAAGCTCTATTTCCTTCTACAGCTGTCCATAAAAAGGCTAAACCTGGAAAGAGGCCCATGTTTGCTGTCTCTCACCTAGATGTTGAAGGTCCTTCTCCCTGTAGAGGCGAGTGACCCTCTCCAGCAGCTCCCATTTCTCACAGCAGCCTTTGTAGTTGACGAAGTTGCGGGCCAGGATTTCCTTCAGCTGCCGCACCGAGAGCGCGTTGATGTCCCCGACGCTGGTCAGGTCAGACAGGGAGGCCTTCCTGCCCAGCACCAGGTTATCCTCGGAGTCACTGGACTGGGGGAGCACAAGGGAATCATTCCTGCCCTCAACACCCTCAACTGTCATTAAAATCAACTTCCAGCATGTGTGTTAGCAGGGATTCAGGTTTGGATGTACAGAGAAGTGGCTACTCTGAATTCATCTACCAGAAACACAAATCTTGAGATAGAACTTAATAATTTCTGCCATGGTGTCCAAGTGACACCAGTTCTTTCTGTATGTGGAGGACAAGATGATGCCACAGAAGGGGTTGATTTGGTTTGGTCATTCTCAGTTACTTTTCACATCTGGTAGCAAATCCAGCCCAGGAAACCTGGTATTCCCTGCCATCCCATCCCAGGACACACAAACCTGTATCTCATCCTCTGCTGCTGCTTCTTCTGCTGCATTCTCAGCTGCTGTTCCACAGGCTGGGCTCGGAGGCACGTGACCATTGGCCTGGAAGAGGAAATGAGGCTTTCACCAGCTGTGGGTTTCTGGAGGGAAATCAACTCCAGGACAGTGCCACTGTCCAGAGCCCCTGACCTCTGGAAGGACACAGGCAGGACGAGGCACAAGCCAGGCACACTCACAGAGGGTTTTCCCTGGGCAGCCCTCACACAAAGTAACACTTGCTGAAGCTATAAAGCTCCAGTACAGAACTCCAGGCTGGATCGGGAGGAGACCAAATTTATACACAAATGTGTAATTGTGTGTGTACAGTCCTTCCCTGAGGGTCACACTGTGCCCTGGGGGAGATGTCAGAGCTCTCAGGGCAAGGCTCTGCAGAACCCTCCTCTGACAGCTCAGATCTCACAGTAACTGGGCAAACAGAGACACCAAGTGAAGGAGCAGCAGTGACAGGGCTGGAGGAGAGAAGCTGGGCAGTTGCTTTGAACTCTTGATCAAATGAGCAGTGTAATTTCAGCTGACTCACCCCCAGCAGCCACTGCTCCCTCTGGTTTCCTACTGACAAAGAGACTGTAATGTTACCATCCCACTTATCCAAGTGGGGACTTGTTAATATTTACAGAGCCCAAGAATAACAATCAGGATCAAAGAGCCTGAACTGCAGCACCATGTCATGCAAGTCAGGACAAGAAGCTGAAATGTATCATGGGGCAGTGAGGGAAGAGAGCAGAGCTGGTAAAAACTGGAATGGCAATATCCAGAAAAACAGGGAATGAAAGTGCCTTTTAATGATATGTAAAAAACATTCTCCCAGGAGAACTCTTCTTTTGAACTAGATCAATCTGCTGAGGAAGCAGAAGGTACACACATTTTCACAGCTCTGGCCCACAGTGAACTGAATACACCCATTAACTTTGTAACAGGACAAGGAGCAGATGTCAAACACTGAGTAAACTTTCCTTTAGCAGAGAGCAGAAAAACAAACAAAGCAAGGTCAATAAAAAATAATTAAACTCAAATGCCCCTGCCGAGGTTCATCAGAACTGCAGGTTCATCATAAACCAAGACTTAGCAACAGACTCAGGGTTTGTCTTCTACTGATCTGAGTGCAGGAGACACCAAAAACCTCACCCAGCCCCCATCACCTCTGATCAGCTCCTGCTTCAGGCTGTCCTTGTTATCTGGCACAGGAATTAAAGAACAGTATCAACTATTTAATTACACCTGCAAACACGTGCCAGAAGCCATGAGCAAGTACCAAAGGAAGCAGTCACAGGAGCATCTTGTGGCAATGGAAGTGTGGAGCAGAGCACCAGAGAAAACACATCCCAGAGCAGTGATGATGTTCTGAGAGTGAATGCTCAAGATATTCAGCACTACCCACCAAATTCAATTCCATAACGAACGGCACATCAAAGTCAGTGACAGCAAGTCACAGCTTTACACAGCAAAACCACATGCAACATCCTAGCAGTTAATCCAAAAATGGAGATGAATGAGTTTGCAAAAGATGGTTCTGGCCAGAGATTGTACCTGTTGGTGTTCCTGAGCTTCTGAACTTGAGATGGGATCTGCAGACACTGAGGACTCATCGTGTGAGGTAGGAGAGGCCAGGTTGGCTGGGGGGTGACTCACAAAGTCTTGCTGTTCACGGGCACTGGTATTAAATGTGTTTGTTCTTATCTGATCTTCCTGGGTAATTGCAGGCTGCTGGCCAAGGATCAGGAATACCAGGTCCTCCTTTTCACGACAGAACTCTGTGGAAATCTCATGGAGGGCCAAATAATCTCGCAGATCCTTCACCTTCATCTTGATCAGCTCCTCCCGCTGAAAAGCCGTGGCTCGGAAGCGCTGGCAGAGGTGGCAGAGCAGGGGCCCACCCTCGGGCTGGTTTGAGCAGGACGTGCAAAAGTTCTTCTTACAGTCCAAGCAGATGTGCTGGGAGAGAGAGGGGAAAGAGTCAGAGCCAGCCCTGCCCTGTGCCAGCAGCACACGGTGCCACAGGCAGCAAGGAAGCAGCAGCTGCTCCTAAAGCACAATCAAAACCTCCCATCTAGGAAAGAGTGCCAAGTGGTCACCCACGTTCCTGGAGGAGAAAAAGGAATGATCCCTGAGCAATCACTGAGTCTTTGAGAAGCCCCTTTCCCACTCCATTTACCCAGAATGAAATGTGAGATCCTGACAAGATTCCCTCACATGACAGGAATTTTCTGCACCTGCTCATGCAGTTTAAGCCAGAGGAAATTGAGATTGAGGCAGCAGACTTTGGGTGAATTCCATCTAGTCTAGCTGTGCACATTGTAAATTCCAGCTAGTTGTGCACATTGCTCTGTGCATTAAGAAGCTCCAACACTGAAGGAACTACTTAAAAACATTTCTCTTTCATAAATACCTGCTATGAATGATGTTCCTCTCTCATTTTTTCCCTCCAATTTGCTGCAATCACAGAATGAATCTTGGTTTCACCATAAGAGGGACAGGGAACAGCAAGGTCTCACAGACATCAAAGAATCTGACATTTGTTTATACAAAAATAGCTTATTTTGAAAACAATATGCACACTTTATACCAGTTAGTGCTAGACAGAAAGTGTTGGAAGTTTTGGAAATGTTATGCCCCAGACAGTTAAAAACTTTACAGATTGAATTCTATTGTTAAATGTTTATATTTGATACTGGTTCTGATCTTGTCACTCAGGGCTTGATTTTCAGAAGTTCCAAGCACTCACAGTCCATGCTGATTTCTGCAGAAACTTGACTGCTCAACCCTTTGGAAAGGCAAATTCTACATTTTCCAATAGGAATAGCAGCAGAACAGCCACATTATGTGCTTGTTAAAAAGTCCTGGGGGAAGACAGAAGTGTTTTCAGTGCTGCTAAAAATGCCAATTCACAGTCTCACAGGAGCCAAGCACCTCTGTGGGATCCTGACATCCTGATCCTTCAGAGCTGTGCAAGGGAAAACACACAGGTGGAGCTGAAGTAATAAATACAAACTCAAAGACCAAAAACTGGTTTATGAACTGCTCTAGTGATTGAAGAACTTCTCTGACTTCCCAGCTGAAAGACAGCAGATGTTTTACAGGTGTAAATACACTACTTGCTTACAAAAGCTCTTTCTGATGCCCTTTTCAGCCTGAAACCCTCCCAGCTCCCCAGTTACCATCTCCAGGCCTCTCATTTAGAGCCTGTACTACACTCACAGTGACACTAACTGGAAAGAATCCCAATTTCCTGCTCAAGCATTTTAAGACTTTAACATTTCTACCACAGAGAGAAACTCTTGAAACCTTATCTCAAACCTGCTGTTTGGGGGCCTGCCAAGGAAAAGCAACTTGCACCAATCACAAAGCAAGGCAGGAAGTGCAATTTCCACAGAACATCCAGTTTGGAGGAGTTTTCCTTAACTTCATCACCATAAAAAAATTAATATGCAATTGACTTTTTGTGACCCTGTGATTGCAGGAGCAATCCTGTTCCTTGGGGAATTCTTAGGGCAGAGGCAGGAACTGATGGCTGTGTGTGCCTAGAGCAGGAGAACAAAACGAATGCACAGAGGCAGAGAAGTGGAAAATAACCCTGTTATAACACTGCCCTGTGAATCCCCACCTCTGACATGGCAGCAATCAGATGAACTGAGATTTAAAAACCCCAACAACACAAAAACTACACAGAACAACCCAAAACCCCAAAGCAGCCCCACTTTTCTCTGGCAGGGGAAGCCTCCCCACGGCCTGCAGGCTGCCCAAGTGCTCCAAAGGGAGCTCCTGTATTGCCAAGGACCTTCCACCAGCCAGAAAACCCCTACTGGAGCACTCCCACCTTGAGGTATCACAAGGCAAACACAGCACAAGGGCTCTTCTATCAAACATGTTCCTGCAGTTAACAGTAATCCTGCCTCAGTTATCAAAGGATACATTTGGGAAGTGAAAATAAACCCTGGCATGTCTCTGACTTAGCAGCTCAGCACTAGGATTTATCTTCAGAGAAAGGAAAAAACCTCCCCAGCCTGTATCTGAGCAGCAAGTGTTTAAACATGGATATTTTGGCTACATCTCAGCATGAAGCAGCTCTTACACTTCACTGAACTCTGACTGGAAGAGCATTAATTCAAGGCACTGTGTGCTCTTCAGAAGGATTCGTTTCAAATGTTGTTGCACATTAAAACTTTCCTAAAAGGTCAGGCCACATCTGACTGCTGCTCACTGACAGCACAGTCAGCATGGTCAGACAGCCCTGAAATGCTCTCTGTGGAGGGGTTTGCTGGTTTGTTGGGTTTGGGCTTTGTTAAAGCAATCAAGGCCATCCTCATGGTCACCAGTGCAGAAGGAATTCATTTTTATCCCCTGATTTCAGAATAAACATTAACTGGACACTGCAGTTCAAAGGTGCTGCCTCTCCCAGGAGAGAATGCAGCTTTCCATGCTGTCCTTGCAGCACTGTGAGATTTCACACACTGCTCCCTCCATAGCAACAGCACTGAGGAGTTCCCATGGCTCACAAACACACCAGGCTGTTCCAAGGGATGTTTTCATTACCCCAGAGGCCTCAGGGGTGAGCTCTGGCAGCCCCTCCTCAGCTGTTCCAGCATCCCCTCCTGCAGCACAGGGCTCCAGTCACCCCCAGAGATCCCTGCTCAGGAGCTGGGGCTGCAGGAAGGGGGGAGGAGGCCCGGGAGCTCCCTTTGGAATACAGAATATAAACCTCAATTTCCCTGACAGCCTGCAGCAGCTGGGCATGAGCACAGGTACAGAGAGCAGATCCCACAGGAAAAGGAGGAAGCTGCTGAGGGCAGGAATGTTTTCAGACCCTCTACAGTTTGTGCACCAGAGCATTCCCTCTCTGTCTGAGTCAGGTCAGCTGGAGCCACTGTACAAGACACTGCTCTAAGGCAGCTCATACAGAACAGGTTTTTAGGAGATACTGGGGAAAACAGGGCTGCCTGAAATGGTTTCATTTCAGAATTATCTCCAGCCACTATTTGCAACCAAGCCCAACAGCAAGTGCTGGGTCCAGGGTAACTCTCTCCACAAGTGTTTGTGAGGACATGTGGCTGAATGAGGACAGTGCCAAAGACAAAATTACAGAGCCATGAGCAGGGAGGGCCCCACTGGAGCTGAGCCAGCACCAGGAGCAGCCCCAGCACACTCACACACCCCAGAGTTTGTCACCAGAGTTTGATTCCTGAAGCAACTGCACTCCTCAGTGCAAAAATGCATCTACACCCCTGCTGCCCTGGGAGCAGAAAGCAGCAGCTCTGCCAAGACACACCACTCCTCAGATGTGTGTCCTCATGCATAAATAAAAAGTGCAAGGAAAACCAATTTATGAACTTTCCCATATAATCTAAAAAGGCTGTGGCCAGAATCCACCATTATTTTTAAATTCTCCTATCATTAAGTTCAGTAACTATAGATCAGACACTTCTTAAGCCACAGAGTGTGGACACAGAACGATTTTCCTCACTGGAACATTTTCAAGCAGCATTAAAGGACCCACCATGACCAAATAATGCCCCAGGCAGGGTTTGCTGTCAAATTAAGTCTTGTAGTACCAATTATTTTGGCATTTATACACCCACAAATCAAGTTTACAGGTAAGATAAAATTGATCTGGGTTTGGTCTGGGGCGATTTCTGCTCAGCAGTTCCACACACACCCTCAAAAAACTTCACTGGCTTTTAGTTTGAGCAACAATAGCTTGGAAAACAGGCAGGAAGATCTTCCTTTACTGAAAGCACAAACATTATTAAGCTTCTTGCCACAATATTTATTTTTAAAGAAAATTAGTGCTTTTAAATAAGAAATTTAATAACTTATGCTCAAGTTAATGCTTCTTTAAGTGATTATCAGCAGTTTGGCTTTTTCATTGAGGAAATCTGCTGAAGGATTTCCAGTCACGTTTGTCACTCTAGGACATGGACACTGGACTCTCCAAGGTAAAAAAAAGGGAAAGTTTCATTCTGACTCCAACATTTATAGATTTCCAAAAGTGGCAGTGGATTGGAGGATGACAATGCCCCCTCTCCAATGACACTGGACAAACCAACAGTCCATCAAATTTCTCCTCCTCCATAAAAGAATGCAAAACAATGAGTTATTTACAGAAAGTATGTGAGACAGTTCATTACAAGAATGTAAACATCAGAAGGCTTAGAAAAACTTAAAAAACCAGGGTGACACCCATTAATTGTGACAGAATGGCTGAAGACCGTGCACCAAGGTGAGCTGTGTTCTCCCATATGGGATGTGCAGACCTGAGGATTTGTGTATAAAATGTGTGTCTGTGAGTGAATGAAGGCAGGGCAGGCTCAGACTCACCTTGCTGGAGGAGCTGTCAAAGTGCAGCCCACAGGCTTTGCAGCTCTGCTCCGAGGCAGTGGGAGAGGGGAAGGAGCTGTAGCCAGGGTTGGAGTAGGCCTGGGCTCGGGCTGCCGGCGGCGGCTGCATCTCCTCAGGGGAGCCATCCACACAGAACCAGTTACAGCAGCTTGCCCACATAGTACCTGCCAGGAAAACACTGTCAGAGGCTGGGACACAGCCTGCCAGCCCAGGGACAGCAAAGCAGCAAGTGCAGGTCAGTGCCCATCCCTGGTTCATTTTTAACAGCGTGTTTGTCAGTGCTGATCCTTCCTCTGACAAGTGCACACAAAGCCCACGCGCTCAGTCCAGCATGATGCAGCTTTGGTGAAAAGGGACAAATAAAGATCAAAAGAACTTTATTACTGGGACTTCACAGAGTTAAGAGACTACAATGAAGATAAGATAAATTTTATGTTCCACTTGGCTATATCAGATTCTGAGTTTGCTCTAACAGGCTGTTTCTATTTCACATAAGCTGCAATACTTATCAGGATGTAATAATGCATCAGGAAAAGAACACAAAAGCTCAAATGAGATGGCACAGAACAGTTAAATAAAATCAGCAGCAGGATCATAGATGGCCATTCCTCAGCTTTATCCTAAATCCCTCTACAGATTCACAGCTACAAATCCAAGAAGATGAAATAAAAGCAAGGACAAACGAGCCACTGACTTCACACACTGCAGTTCTAGGCTGAATTTACAGCATTACAAGGCTGAACCACCACTGGAACAGCAGGTCAATGTCAGTAATGTAAGAAAATCAAATCCTGGCTTTGGTAACTTGCTTGGGAAAACAACTGCAGCTGAGACACAAAATCACTTGTTTATTTTTTTCAAGTCAAATTTTATATGCAAAATATACACACACACACACTTACCAAAAATCCTAACACAGTCCAGTGCAAAATGCTCAGTTCCAAAGTCTTCTCAGACCACCTCTGCTGCAATATTCCAGAAATACACTGCTATAAACTTGCTTTTGGGAGTTTACAAAGAAATCTGAATTCATCTGGGCATTCAGTTTCTGGAGCACACACCATGTGTCACCACTTAGGGCTAAACTGAATACAAATTGCCTCCTCTGCATTTCTACTCTCACATGGGAGTTCCTGAACTGTTTCTTTTATGTCTTAAAAATCAGCTCCCTCACTGATAGCGTTCAGCAACTGCTTGATTTTAGAAACTTCTGGAAATAAAACATCTCTCAGCTGCACAGCCAATTCATTGCTTGTTACTCACTAAGTATTGCCACTGTGAAACTGCAGATTCCCAAGGGAAAGGGGCTGGGAAGGGAATCCTAAAGGTTATTGGGTATAATAATTTTTTGTAAGCTGTGCTGAAACTTTGGGGCTGATGTACTTGAATTGGGAAGCTTTTGCACTCTGTTGCTTTAGTGGCATCTTTGATCCTTTCAGAACCTGGCTGAATTTGGCTGCTCAGAGTCCCTGCTGTCCTGCACAGACGCTTTTCAAAGCCCACAGTGTGAGCTGAGCCAGGAGCCCTCCCTGCAGGCTCAGCACATTGCAGAGTTTCAATACAAATCTACACATTCACACCCTGGATTCGTGGTGGAGCTGATGTGCTCATTGCTGCACTGGAAATGACACCAGATCTCAATAAATAGTGTGGATTGCACTTAGGCTGGCAAGGAGATCCCAATAAATACACAGAGGAAAGCACTGCACCAACAGAAATAATCTATCATTCATCTCTATTAGCTTTGCCCTGCAATCAAACAGGCACTTCAGACGGCACAGATAAAAGAAACAATTTCCCTTTTTCTCTCTGCATGTTCATTTCCAGCTCTCTGTCCCACTCAGAAGTTAACAGAGCCTTTCTTTTGCAAAAACACAGAATTTCTACTTGAAATCACGTTCTTTGGGAGGTTTAATTTGTTCCTAGGAATCACAAATCTAAACAACATGAAAGCTGCACAGCCCAACAAGCATTCACAGCCTCCACAGCAGTGCAAAACTGCACCCAGAGTTCAGCTCCCTTCCTGTTTCAAGGACCCCTGCAAGCTGAAGGCCACCCACGATAACAGAATACACAAATGCTACTGCCTGCCCCCAAAAACTGTTTTCCTAGAAAAAGACAGCCCACTAATTCACTCTGGAACATTGCAACATGTCAAACATTGGGAAGAAAAACACAAGGCAGCGCACAAACTGGGATAAAATAAGACAGAGCTCAGCATTCAGCTGGGGTTGTAGCTCTGTGATTGCCAGGAATTAAAAGGCCAACAAAAAGCTCAGATGTTGCTTTAGAAGAACCTTAATCCTGCTCAACTGCAAAAGCACAGAAGGGAAATGCCCATAAACAAACAACAACCAGGACTGTCCTCTGATCCATAACATTTTTCCTTAAAAAGAAGCACACATGCAAAACACCTCTGTAGCTGCCTACAGCTGCACTAAGGCAGCAGCAAGAAACACAGGTAAGATTCAGCAGCTGCTTCAAGAGAGATTTTCCATTGTTCTGGACAGGATCAGCTTTAGAGCCAAGGAAATGAGCACTGCCACTGATAGAGGACTCCAAGTTACAAGCAGAATGCCTCACTGGAATTTCAGGATGATCATTTCCTTAATAACTCTTACAATGTTTGCTACAGAAAAATTATTCCCTTATTTATTCTCTTACCCATCTGGAGGTATGTGGTCAGCACAGCCCAGGAACTGCTCATTTCCTGCATGGATGGATGGATGGATGGGTGGATGGATGGGTGGGTGGATGGATGGATGGATGGATGGATGGATGGATGGATGGACGGATGTTACAGATGTGGCAGTCTGAGGGTCAGAACCAGACAGTCCTGCCCTGTCTAAATCCTGTCAATTCCCTGCAAAGGAGCTGCTGTTCTGCACCCAAGGAGCTCCACAGCTCCACCAAAATGACAAATTAATGCCCAGATAAAAGAACACCCAGTGGAAAAAGCTACTTGTGTGTTGTGCTCCAGGGTTGGGAAAATACTTACAGCAACTTGGCTAATAACAGTGTGACAGCTTGGAAAACTTAATGACAGCATGGATTTCAGGAACATCTTGAATAAAAGATGTGGACTTACTGGCATAGCTGACATTCCAGGCACTACTGACAGCAGCATTATCCTTGGACAAGGTGCCTCTACTGCCTCATGCAGCCACAGAAACAACTGCTCGAGCCACACAGCTGAGCTGGGTTTGGCAAACTGGAAGCTCCATGGCAGGCACCCAGCAGTGACTGCTGGCAGCCAAAAACCACCTGCCCTAAATGCTAAGGGCACGTTGTGCTTGGAGCATCTGCCAGGGCAAAGGGAGAGGGAGTTTCATCAAGGGTGGAGACACAAGATCAAACAGTCCATGCTGGACCTGCAAACACATCCACCCACGTGGCAATCAGCACCCTGGGAAGGGGCTGTTTCATCTTCTTTCTGCAGTTGCTTTAAGGAAAGCCAGAAGAAATCCAGTAAACGGCAGGGAGGTGCTTCCCATGGACAAAGTGGTGCCAGCACTCCACCATGCTCTGCTGGACTGCTTTTATTGATTTGATTATTTATTTTTCCAGCATGAAGCTGTGCATGCCACGACTCTCTTGACTGGATTTAAACAGAGGAGTGAAATTCATTTCATCACCAGTTCATTAACACGTTCTACACAACGCCAAGAGTTCTGTATTAATTTAATTCTGAAGGAAATACCAGTGATGTCAAAGTTTTCCTCCCATACATAGTTGAAGATAGAATTCATAATGCAGGCCTGGATTCTTCTACTTCCCATCTTCATTTAAAAAAGTGTTTGAACTCAGGTTCTCACTCCATATGCAATACCACTGCCATAACCTTGCTAGCTGGAGTATCAGGGCTCACAGCCTCCACACAGGATTTATTACACAATTATTACACATGCATGTGTAATAAATGGATTTCATCAAAGGCTAGGCTGTGGCTGCAGAGGGAAACTGTGGTTTATGTTTGAATATAAAATTTGCCTTTATTTTCCTAAGGGTACAAACAACAAGGGACTAGAGCAAGCCAAGGAATATCTCAGAATCAATGAGCTTCCAGCTCTGTATAATAAAGCTCTCAAGGACTGGGCCTGGCTCCTTTTCCTGACTGCTCAGGAATTCAGCAGCTGGAATGCAGCAGCACCAAGGAGACACTTGAATCAAGGGATCAAAAGGAGCTGAGCTCCCAGGAGCAGCTGATTCCACTCCCACACAAGAAGAAACCACAGCAGGAGGTAGTTCTGCTCCTGAGAGGCCTTTAACCACTGGAACAGCAGGGCTGGTGACCCTCGAGGCCACTGCAGATGGAGCTGGGTGCCAGGCAGGGAGGGAGGTGCAAGAGGGCAGCTCTGGCAGGGGCAGCTTCCCTGCAGTGCTGTTTGCTCAGCAGCCCCACGCCTGCCCTGCTCACCACAATCAGCTGCTGCTCCATCAGAACACCCAGCTCCTCTCTGCCCCTCACCCATGGAGAGACTCCCCCCTTCCCTTCCCCCTCCAGAACCTTCCACAGCCTTCAGGACCTGCAGAGAGCAGCTGCTCCACACCAACACAGGCTCTGTGTCCTCGTCATGCCAGCAGCCCCATGAAAATATATTCTCCCTGATGTCTGCTGTGAGATGGGACCAGGAATAGAGCAAAGTAGGCTCCAACTCAGGAATAAAGGCAGAAAAAAACCTTTATTAACCTACAACTATATAAAAGAAACACACAGAACTCAGAATGAAAACCTCCCAAAAAAGTCACTTCCTTTTCAAACCAGAACACTCCTCCACAACAGCAGTGAGACAACTTTCAACACCACACACCAACCCTGGGATAATGCTGAGCACAAAATCATTTGTTCCTGCCACTTCCAGTAGTTTGAAGGTCAAGGAAATTGTTCAAGAGGCCAGAAAGAGACAGTGTGGCTTTAAAATACTCATGTATCGATAGGTCTCTTTTAAAATTACTATTTTTGTTATTAATCCCTGCAAAATGGATCAGATCTCACTTTGATGAATGCTGTTTGAAATGGTTGAAGTATTTAATGAGTTAACCACCTTGGTGCTCCATTAATAGTGTTGCACAATTGCTCATTGTTACAATTTACTATTTTTTTTTATTTCAACAAACCTGCACTGATAAGAAATGCCTTGCTAAAATTAGTTTCACTAATGAC